TGTGTCTGTTTTTGTACCAGTACTCTGCTGTTTTGGTTACTGCAGGCTTGCAGTTTAGTATGAAGTTGGGTAGTATAATGCCTCCAGTTTTATTCTTTTTGCTTAGGATTGTCTTGGCTATTTAGGCTCTTCCTTGGTTCCAAATGAATTTTAAAGTAGTTTTTTCTAATTCTGTGAAGGTCAGTGGTAGTTTAATAAGAATAGCATTGAATCTGTAAATTGCTTTGGGTAGTATGGCCATTTTCACAATATTGATTCTTCCTATCCATGACCATGGAATGTTTTTCCATTTGTTTGTGTCCTCTCTGATTTTCTTGAGCAGTGGTTTGTAGCACTCCTTGAAGAGGTCCTTCACTTCTCTTGTTAGCTGTATTCCAAGGTATTTTATTCTCTTTGTAGCAATTGTGAATGGGAATTTATTCATGATTTGGCTCTTTGCTTGCCTGCTGTTGGTATATAGGAATGCTAGTGATTTTTGCATATTGATTTTGTATCCTGAGACTTTAATTGCTCAAAAAATTTATTCTTTACATAAGATTTGAAATGTTATTGCTGTAAATTAAGTTATGGCACTGTCTTCAGATGGCCATATCGTCAAGGTGTACATGGTCTGGGAGATGTATCCATAAAACTTCAATGACAAAATGCCAAACTCGTAAATAGACTGCTGTGGGAGCATGGAAGAGGAAGTGACTAATTCTACCCAGGAAAAACCAGGGAATTCAGGGCTGAGGCCCTATGCTGGGCTACTTGGTTTAGAGCATTCTGTTTGGGCCCTCCTTTACTTGCACCCCCAGTTCCCACCCACTCTTTTGCCCACTAAACTCAGTTCAGGTAACTGAGACCTTGGAATTCCTTTCCCAGGTATCTCAAACCTGCTTCCAGGATTTGTGAATACTTGGTCCTTGGGTCTGTTCTCCTGAGAACAAGCCATGCCAACAGTTGACCCCATATTCTTGAGAGGTGGCCTAGAAGAGCTTGCATGTGTGGACTGGGGTGTTCACATGCAGGGCAAAGCCGGGGTGGAAATAGAAGAGAAGGTATGGGACAAGGAATGGGGACTGGGAGACATCTCTCCTTATTTTCTCTCCAGAGGTCAAACGTTCTAAATTCAAATCAAGTGTCACAGATTGTTAGAAAGGCACATTTGTCAGGGAGGAGGATAGAACATTTTATATAGTGGCTGAGTATTTGTGATGTGAAGGACTCTGCTTGTACCCTAGTGTCAGGTCCTGCATGTATTAGGGTGGGTGGAGAGAAGATTTCCCAGAAGTAGAGATTTGAGATCGAATTTGAAAGTACAAGATTTCTCTGTGTTCAAGCCACTGTGGGTGATCAGTGCCATGTAACTGGGTCATAGGGGAAGAGTCTGCAGATAGGCCCATCAAAAAAGACACCGGAGTCTGGAATAGCATGACTCTGGAATTTTGTCCATGGGCCATGAGAAAATTTTGAAAGTCTCTAAGAGAAACCTGAGGTGATCAGATCGGAGTTTGAGGGCTATGAGTCTGGTGGCAGTGAGGAGCCTGAACAGAAGGGAGAGAGATTTGAGGCAACAAGGCCAGTTTGGTAGCTTTTTCAGCTGTCCATGGTTTACAGCCTGAACAAAGTCCATGTCAGCTTGCTCTCTGCAGCCAGAATCTTATTCTTAGTGGCTACTTGGCTCTCATTGAAGCCCACCATTCCCTGCATCAGGCAGGCAGCTCTCAATGAGGAAGCACTGAAGACACCAGCCTAAGGAAATGCCCTATGTTTGGAAAATAAAATTCCTTCTAATCCAAGAATAATCTATCTAAAACCCAAAGCAGACTTGTCTCTCATGTGTGGATAAACTTCAAGAAATATCTATCTTTTCTATCATCGTAACAAACTTTAGGCTATTCGGAATTCAGAGTAAAAAATATCAACTTTTGTTGAATTTGTAAAATTGTTATTATTTAATTTACATTGTTCAGGGCTTCTCTTCCCTTGCTCTTTCTGTGGATTCAACTATGCCCAAGTGTATGTATTTGCCTTGAGCATCTTTCTCTTTCTGTCTTCTTTCTTTTCTTTTCTTTCTTTCTTTCCTTCTTTCTTTCTTTCTTTTTCTTCCGTCCCTCCTTCCATCCTTCCTTTCCTTTCTTCCTTCCTTCCTCTCTTCCTTCCTCCCTCCTTCTTTCTTTCTTTCTTTCTTTCTTTCTTTCTTTCTTTCTTTCTTTCTTTCTTTCCTTCCTTCCTTCCTTCCTTCCTTCTTTCTTTCTTTCTTTCTTTCTTTCTTTCTTTCTTTCTTTCTTTCTTTCTTTCTTTCTTTCTTCTTTCCTCTCTCTTCCTTCCTTCCTTCACTTCTTCTTTTTCTTTCCTTCTTAATTGTTCTTTATGGGACAACAGCTAAAACCCATGCTATGTAGCTTGGGACGTATTGCTGAAGTTTAAATTTTAAAGTAAAAGTGGCATGAGAGAAGCACATGTCACAAAGACCTTGGTGTTCAGGAAACAGGACCTGAAGAGTAAGGACTGGGAAATGAAACTTTATAGAATGGGGCAGGAAATGTGCAAGCATTTTTCATTGCTAAAAACATGAGGTTAAGTATGTTGCCCTGACCTGGAGCAGCTGGCTGACACTTCTGCCATATATGCCAGGGACCTTGCATGGCTTCTCCTGAAGAACATACAATTGCTTCCTAATGCACAGGCAGCATTTCTAGAACTGTGCATTCGTATATGCTATTTACCAGAATCTAGCCCTATTCTTTCCTCCAAAAGTACTGGATATGAATCTGAAGTTTAAATCTCTATATAGGATAATTTTAATTATCTAGAAACTTTCTTCTTTTATGTTCTTGTTAATTGTTTTGTAGTAATACATGACAGTATATGTTTAAACATTGTGTACAACTCTTTACTATGGGGTGGGGGAGATGTTTTATTCAGATGTCACTCTATACAAATTAGATTTATCTTCCTTTGATTTGTTGCTCAAAAACTTATTAACTCACCTTCCGGATAAGCTCTGTGTAAGGCATTAGGTGTCCAATGGTGTACAAGATAGGGATGATGCTTAACCTTGTGGAGCTTTCAATCCAGCCTGAAAGGCGTCTAGAGCAGCAGTAAGAAGGAATCATGTGAAGGACCTGCTCAGGGCCATTTAGGGTACAGTGGGAGCTTCCACAAGGGCACTATAGCCTGAGAAGGAAGAAGAGAGGAGTTGAGGGAGGTTTCTTAAGGAAATAATAGTTCATCTGAGGCCTCAAGAATGATCAGGAGCTACTCAAGCAAAATAGGGGCAACATGAATTCCAGGCAGAACAGATCACATGAGTAAAATCCAAGATGCAAAAGAAAATTTCTCAAGTTAAGAATTTTTAAAAATAATTCATCATAGTTGATGTGCGATAGGTAGTGGAATCTGGACTGGGGAAGGTGGACCAAGTGGACAAGGGACTGAATGTGGGAAGATGGATAGGAGTCAGGTATGAATAAAAGGGCAAGTGACCGTAGGGTTTTAAGGCAGGAAAAAACACCACTGTGGCTAAATCTGAGAAGAGATTGGATGGGCAAGACTGAGGGCAGGGAGACCTGTTAGGAGGCTGTTGGAATAACCCATGTGTGGGATGCCTGGGTCAGGGATCTCAGCTCCATGTCCCCCTGAGAGAGACCTTCCCTGACCCTTTGCCTCAATTAGGGCCCTGGGACAGTCTCTCACAGAGCCCTACATTTTCCCTACATGGGATTTATTAAAATTATAATTGTTCATTTCTGATGTGATTATTTCTTTTACTGAATGTCTCCTTTACTAAACAGTGAATCTTGTCAGACTTATTGCTGTCCCCATCACCTACAGCTTGCAAATAGGAAGGACTCAGTCAGTATTTGTGAAAGAGTGAATGAATGGATGAATATAAAAAGAAAGGAGTGGACAAATCTGTGGGATTCTTGGGTATTGGAATCAACAGGACTTGGTGATTGCTTGGAAAATAGCTGCTGGTAAGGGAGAAACAGTTTCTAGTTTGAGTAGCCAGGTGGATAATGGTGTAATTTATAGGAAAAGGAGGCACTTAGAGCCAGAAGAGGTGGTGGGAGAAGCAGGTTTTTGGCAGGGGGTGGATTATGAGTTCAACTTTGGGCAGATGGTGCTGTGTATCAGATTTGGTTTTAATACTGGAAGCTACATTTAAAGTCTACCCTACTCAAAAAATGACAAATCAATAAAGTAAATCAAACACAAACAAAAGAAACAAATAAAGCAGAAATATGGATGGGCAAATCTGTTTCACTTTCGTTGTTCAGCTTCCCACAAGTTTCTCTTTCTAATTCTTCTATTTTAGCAAACAAAACAATTCATTACATTATCAGTATGTGACATATTAACATAGAGTCTTTATTCCACCAAAGAGTTCCATTTTCTTGGATAAATTTCACCTTTACATTCATATAAGCATTAAGAGTCAAGAAAAAAAATTAAGATATGAGACTATGGTATAAATCATTTTGCTTTAATAATTTTATCTTATTATTACATTTTTGTGATCAAAATGGAAAATTGAAGAAAATGTGGGAGATCTTTTCTGCTTTCATATTTTTATTTATTAAACATTTCTAAACTGGATTTCTCCATTTTGAAGGCTTTGATTAAAGTCAACAAGGATCTCCTACCTACTTAAATTGTCCTTTAAATTGCAGCTTTCATGGTGGTTGGAGGAAATGTACCATTCCCAATGAGGAAATAACACATCGAAACTTGACTTATGAATAGCAACACTGAAGCATTATTTTAAACTTCACTCTTCAACAGTAAGGCACAGATTAAAAGAAAAAGGAACTAAAGGCTCTGAAGATTTTATTGTAAATTTTAAATTCTAAACTTGGGAGATTTGCCTGAGTACCAATGAGGTTAATAATCCCAGAATGTGTTGAGTTCAGGTTTAATACAAAAAAAATTTTGCTTTCAAAATTAATTGCAATTTAATTAACTTTTCTTTTTCCTTCTTCTTTCTTCCCTCCTCCTCCCCTCTCTCTTTATAGGTAGTTCAGAAGTGTATTCCTTTCCTAATTGGGCATTTGAAGGATTCAACCCATAATGACATCATCCTAAGCATCCTAATAGAGATAGCAGGCTATGAGCCAGTGGCTTTGAATGGTTTTCTTCCAATGCTGAAAGAGATTGGTGAGAGATTCCCCTACCTCATTGGACAGATGGCAAGGATTTATGGAACTGTTGGGCATGTGGATGAAGTAAGTTTGGTTTTTTTCTCTCCATTCCCCTGAATTGCACTGGCGCTTAATCCAACCTATTTAATCTATTGGAGCTCTATGACATACAAATATTTCCTGGGATTTCTGGGAGTTCCAATTTATCTTTCAATCCTTTTACATGGGCAATGGCCTGTGAGTCAAGTAGCAGGGTTATGTGGAAGGTTTAGGAAGTGAGTATTTTATTACTGCTGTGTCACCTGAAGAAGGAGGGTTAAAATGGAGAGAGCACCAAAAGATTCAAGACCACTTTGCAGTAACAACAACCAATAAAAGAGCTGTATCTCATTTCAGGTTGCAATTTCTCTTAACCCAGGAGACCATCAGTAAGCACAGAATTAGATTTCATAGACTACCCTTTAATGAGAGCCTGTAGCTATCATGTCAATAAGTGCCTGGGTTCAGAATGTTTTCAGTCCTCTGACTGATGTTATTTGGGAGAGTGAAATAAACGTTTGTGGATGTTTAAAAGTACTAAGCTAAATATTTGCATAATGGCATCTTTCAGTAGGGACAACAGGATGCCATCAGAGTTTATGGGGATTAAGCAATTAAGAAAGTTTTCAGAAATTCAGGTTTCAAAGACATGCATGTCTCTCTGATGATTTTATGTTGGGATTTAGGATTTTTATATTTTAAAATAAAAACAAATCTATAATTGACTGAGAGCTTTTCCTTGAACCTATGTATATATAATATAATTAGCTATTCAATAAATATAAAATTGTCCAACTTTTAAAAGGAATTTCATAGTTCATTAAGTTCAATCCCTTGATTCTGCATAAGATAAAATTTAAAACCAGAAACGTTATGTGACTTACCCAGACTCAGACTGAGTTAGTAACCCAGTTAGAATTAGATCTTTGGTATCTTCAGCATCATTTTGGAATTTTGTCTTAAAACGCATCTTTGGTGCTGTTTGATTATATTTCTTCTCAGAGTTATAGTGAACCCCTTGAGACCTGCCTGGCTTCCTCCTGGTCGAGGCTCTTTCTCCTCTAGCTTTCCAGAGGAGGGCAGGAGAACTGAGTTCCCAAGCCTGCACCTGTCAACGTGAGGATGGATCTTGAAAGGGGATTTCTCTGGTGTAGATGTACTCTTAGTATAATCCCTTTCTGTGCACTGCTGTTGGGAATGTCTCGCCACACTCTGCCTTCTGTTAATGTTTTCCCCTGCCCGTCACCTTTTCTGCCAAGAGAACCCACTGGTATGCCCGAGTGTTATTAGGCCAGCTTCGCCTGACAGCTGTTTAACTGAATCTGCTGACCTTGCAGATCTTTGCAAGGACCAAAAAGTTCAACCTCTGAGGTGTGAGGCCCTGGAATCTTTAAAAAGTAAAGTCTTTCTGCATTTTCATGGTAATTCTTTTTGTCAGAAATGATTCATTAATGTATAGTAATGCACATTGGTGTTGACTAAACTCCCATGGAAAATGTAATCTGTGAAAAACAAAAAACAGTAGCCACATGCAGTCTAACCACATGCAAATTATGTCAATGTCAGTTTGTCTGAACGAAGGCTGTATCCATCTATTCTTGCACTGCTATAAAGAAATAGCTGGGACTGGGTAATTTATAAAGAAAAGAGGCTTAATTGGCTTGCACTTCCAAAGGCTGCAACAGGAAGCATGATGCTGGCATCTGCTCAGCTTTTTGGGAGGCCTCAGGAAAACCTACAATCGTGGTGGAAGGCAGAGGGGAAGAAGGCACCTCATGGCCAGAGCAGGAGGAAGAGAGAGTGGGGAGGTGCTGCGCCAGATCTCATGAGCACTCACTCACTCTCATGAGAGCAGCAGCAAGGGGGAAATCCACCCCTGTGATCCAGTCACCTCCCACCAGGCCTCACCTCCAACATTGAGTATTACAATTCGACATGAGATTTGGGTGCAACACAGATCCAAACCATATCAAAGGCTAACCTGAAAGAGAACAGTTCATTTGGTGACATTTGTGTGACTGTCAGTGGGTACTAGGAGAAGGAGAGGTGGGTCTAAATAACTTGAGGAATAAATTATTTCAGAATTCAAATTTGTTTGCTTTTTTCCCCAAAACAAACAAATCTTTCTGGTGGTTCTGTTTCACCCCCCACCCCAGACCCACAGCAGAGAACAGTTGTAGATCAGATAGTTACCAAGTGTATCTGGATGTCAGGGTTATGTGAGGAGCTTTAAAATAATGTCAGTCTTGGACCCCATAGAATGCCTACTAAGTCATAATCTCCTGAAAAGAGAACCAGAAGTCTGGATTTACGGGAACCTCTGTCAGGGTAATTCTGATGCAGCTATTTGTGGATCAGTATTTGGGAACTCCAGACAGAGAATATTTAAAGTGCTTTCTCTGTTGGATTTAGAATCAGGCCTTGCCCATCACCCATCATCCTGCCCTCCTCTAGCAAGCCATTGCTAATCAATTTAATAATTTTCTAGACTATTGATATAGCAGCTTAGAGTAGTCTTGGCTAAGAGTAACACAAAAATCCAAAACCACAGTAACTTAAACAAAGATAGATATCTGATTGTCTTACACTTAAAGAAATCTAGAAGGCAATCTCTCTAGAGTGCCATGTTTCAGAGACTCAGGCTCCTTCTACCTTATTGCTCTACCATTCCTGAGTGCACCAGAAAGCAATAGCTTCTGTGTCATGGTCCAAGATGACACTGTCTCCACCCATCACATCAGTCTTTCAGCCAGCAGGAAGGGGGAAGGGGAGAAGGAATCTTCCAAGCTGTCAAACACAACCTTTTGTTTACAATCCATTAGCTAAATAGAATAAAGCTGAATATGACCATATGTAGCTGCAAGGGAGACTGGAGCGTGTTGCCTGGTTTTGGGTGGCCCCATGCCCAGTTAAACAGGGGGAAAAGACAGAAAGAATGATGAAAAACAAAAAAACTGTTGCTGTTGCAGGTGGTCAGTTCATTTCACATCCGTAAAAATTAGCAGCTTTACACTGGATTGCCTCCTTTATGGTCTGATATTATTTGATTCCATTATTTCGTTTTATTTAGTCTAATAAAATTACCTATAAATGTCAGGCAGGCTCCTTTGCTCAGAAATAATGCTCTTTCTTGATTATGTGTAATGCCTGAAATATTACTGTAAGAAAGTTCTTTTAGCTGTAAGGAATGCTAAAGTTCAGATGTCCCAAGAATAAGTGTAGTAATCTAAGCAGCTAGTAACAGTGTAATTTGAGTAAATTTGTCTAATTTTCTAAATAAAACCTTGTGGAGCAATATTTCTAAAAACCAAAAACAATAGGCAAGATATGCACGTATGTATATCTCTACCCAGCCTCTTTCCAAAATGAAACAAGAAGTTCCTGAGGTACACTGAGAGGTGGGCATGAAGGCAGATGCCCAGTATGGAGTCTTGGGTACCAAAGTGAAAGGAAATATCAATAAAGAAAGAGAGGCAAAAACTGCCCTGGAAAAGCCCCATCACTTTCTATGTGGAAAGCTTGGTCTATGGGGAGACAATGAAACATGAAACCATATGAGGCATGGGGATTTTTGGGATGCTTATAAGACAGCCACAGGACCCTTGTGACCTCTAGCCCTAGGGTCGTGTCCCTTATCCTATTCTGTTCTCATCTAAAAATTGATTCCGTTTGAAATTTTTCTCTTTGACACCAAAGTAGTCCTTTCAGTTGGGTTTTGGGGGTTCAAACTGTCAGATAATTTTATTTCCAGGATTTAAAAGATTTTGGCAATATGGAAAAGCCAATTCAACTTTAAGATCCTTCTCCAACTTTTATAATATACAATCTATGACAGATCAGAGCATACTGACTGATCAGAGCATATAATATACAATCTATGACTGATCAGAGCATACCTCCTTTGTTTCCTGGTTTCCAGCAAACTCTATGGTTTGATCTTTAAGAAGAGCAGAGTCTCCTGAGGGTTTGCAATCCTCAGTCCAGAATTTGGCCATGGGAGTAGAGACAGCCTGGAATTATACAAGTTATTAATTGGCTTCACCTTCTGTGCTTGCATGAAGCCAGGTGTAAGAACTGCAGGGCTGGCTACTGGGAACTGACCGGGTGTGCCTGTCTTTCAAATGAGCGCCCATCTGGGTGAGCAGACTGTTTTCAACAGCTTGATAGCAGCATCACAATTTTTCCATCTGTATTACATTCGGCAGAGAAGAGTTGTATATATAAAACAAAAACCAAAATCCTACAGATTCTTATTTTCTCTGTCTCCCAGATTAACTCAGGGATCTTTTTTTGCCCAAACTTAAATAAAGCCATGTTTAATAGTCATATAGTGCTTATGTCACTGTGGAGGCCATGAATGACTCACAGAACACTACCAGGGCAGAGAAATTTGCCTCTGGGAGAACCGATCAATTGTTGCCCTTGAGGTACACCTTTCAGTAAAGATCTATCCAGTTCTTTAGAATGCCAGGATTTACTCCATTTCTCTGATATGCTCAGTTGAAGTAAATTCATAAATAATAAATAGTATTTGATTAAATATGTCCAAAACACAGCAAAAATACGTGGGTCCTTTTGTCTTTCTCAAATGAGAAGGTTGCAGTAGAAACCTTTCAGACAACAGCAGAAATGACTTCTTAGTAGCACCTAAGGGTTCATTCCCCAAACATACATCCAGCAATTTATATAAAACACTTAACACAGTGCCTGTGTGTGGCATACTAATAAATGCTTGATGGATTTCAACCAACAGCAATAAAGTAACAGCAGCAATATAATAAACAAAACCTGCCTAGCTGGAGAGGCCAACAAGAGAGGGAAAAATACAAGTGTGATCGTACTTCCTCACACAAAGTCTTCTGTGGTCTCTTCCACTGCCTGTGGGATATTATGCAAACTCCTTGGCATGGCCCCAGCTTCCTTCTGTAGCTTCACCTCTTACCTGTGCAGTCCACTTCATTCCCCTACATTCTGACTATTCAGGATTTTACACCCTTCCCTGAACACCCTTTACTCTGACATACATTGAGATCTTCACAGCTTAT